TCAGCTGTCTGCACAGTGGCCCCTTCTCCTTCTATCCTGCTAGCCTGCCTAAGTCAAGCCTTTCCCATCCCCGCTACTTAAAGCCAGCCATCTACCAGCCACCTTCCTTGATTCTCACCCTATCATTCCCAGCTCAGTGTTCTCCAAAGGACTTATGGATGCATTTATGTTTTATTTACTTGCTTACTGTCTATCTATCCCACTTTTAAAACTGCAAACTTTGGGGGGCTGGAGAGATGGCTCAGTGGTTAAGAACACTGACTGTTCTTGCAGAAGACCCAGGTTTGAATCCAAGCACCCACAGGGCAGCTAACAACTGTCCATAACTCCAGTTCCAGGGGATCCGACAGCCTCTTCTGACCTCCACAGGCATTGCATGGCACGAGTGCACTTACCTACATGCAGGCAATACACTCATGCACATAAAATAAAAAAAATAATAAAATATTGGCCAGGCGTGGTGGCATATGCCTTTAATCCCAACAAGAGGCAGAGGCAGGCAGATCTCTGTGAGTTCGAGGCAGCCTGGTCTACATAGCGAGTTCCAGGTCAGCTGGGGCTACAGGGAGAACCTGTCTCAAAAAGACCGAAAAAAAACAAAACAAAACAAAAACAAACCCTGCAAACTTGGGACTGGAGAAATGGCTCAGTGGTTCAAGAACAATGTCTGCTCTTCCAGAGTACCCAGGTTCAGTTCCCAGCACCCACATGGCAGCTAACAATCATCAGTAACTCCAGTTCTAGGAGATCCAACACCTTCTTCTGGCCTCTGTGGGCACTGCATGACACAGGTACATTTACATACATGCAGGCAAAAACAAAAACAGAAACACTCATGCACATAAAATAAAAATAAATAAAATTTAAAAATATTTAAAAACTGCAAGAGGCAGGAACTTTCCTTTGTTCTTTTGACAGGTTTCACCAGTAGCCCACATGGGCCTTACATTTTCCATAAACCTCCTGCTCTAGCTTCCTGAGTGCTGGAACTTTGCCTTTTACCTGCTAAATCTCCAGCATACAGTCCTGGGCACTGGATAGATGACAAGAGAAAGTATTCTAGAATAGCTGATGGTATTGACATAAGTAAGTCACAGCAGCCTGAACCCTTCCATGTGTATGAATTACCTTCCTTCACCTGGGAAGCTGACCCTGCACACAGTAAAGTAAGGTGGCCATTGACAGAGATGACTGGGACTAAGCATCCTGTGAGATCATGCTATGGAGACCAACAGATGACTCAGGATTCGTACCTGCCAGTCCTGCCAAGAGCCTGTGGCCTAGAGGGGGACGTTTATGTACATAGACATGTCTCTAGAACAAGGCAGTATTTATTTGAAAGATCTGGCCTGGCAATGCTTAGCCTTACACATTCTATAATAGTTTGAGAGTTTTCTACAGAGAGAAGGGACCATGAGTTCAAACCTGCAAACTTAGTGTGGCTATTCCTGTCCCCAGTTTCCCGCTCTTGCCTGCTTATCATGCCAGCCACCTTGCCTGACTTCCAATCTAATTCACTCTGCAATGTTTCCACTGGCCCCCTCCACCCAGCATCACTCTCAATCTGCTGTTAACTTGAGACCCCACCCTCTTCTAATCCCTCTTCCTTCTGCTTCTAGATTCAGGGGAAAGTGGGGCAGGGGAAGAATTGACTTAGCGTTGTTACAGGGTACAAAGAATATAAGTTCTATTTCTTAACAATAAAGCTGTATGTCCTTGGGCTGGAAATGTAGCTCAGGTGATAGAGCACTTGCCTATCATGCATGAATCCTGGGTTCCATCCTTGGCACTGAATAAACTGGGCATGGTAGTACTCACCTGTAATTACAGTACTTCCAGCACTTGGGAAGTGGAGGCAGATAGAGCAGAGGTTCACAGTCATCCTCAGCTACAAAGTGAGTTCAAAGCCAGCTTGCGATACATGAGACCGTGACTTAAAAAAAAAAATATGGCGAGTTCTCTGTAGGTAGGTTCGCTTGAAACTACAGTACCCAGAGCTCAGGGACTATGCTGCCCATAGCTCTACTCTAACAGCCTTCAGAAGGTGGCATAGAGTGGATATCCCATCCAGTTTGCTACATCCTTAAACAGGGTATCAAGAGCTCTGAGGAAAATCTGATTTAAGAAGTACCTCTGCCATCCTCTAAGGACGTCCAGAAGTAGTCTATGCCATTCTTTTATTGAACTAATCATAACAGAAGAAATAACCCAACTAGTAAGAATTAAACCATTCCTCCCAAAAATAATGTAAAATGCTGGCCTAGATTATAAAACACTTGTTTTGTTTTGAGATGGGATCTTACTATGTAACACTAGCTGGCCTCGAACTCTCTATGTAGACCAGGTTGACCTCAGACTTGCAGAGATCATCCTGCTTCTCCCTCCCACATGCTGGGATTAAAGGCATGAACTACCATGCCTCGCCTATAAAACACTTATAATTTTCAAATTTATATTGAAATCTTTAAATCTTGTACCAGAAAGTCCAAAAATTTTAAGAGAGAGATTACAGAAAATATCTGCTGGTATTCTCTACAAGATTCCTCTGAACAGGGGTCCCCTCAAGTTATCTGAGTTTTTAGATAGAGATTTACTTAATTTCCCTTCAAGTTATCTGAGTTTTTAGATAGAGCGAGGACCTGAAAAACAGCTAAGTGCGAAGACCTGCTCATTCACACCGAGGATGAGTTTCAGTGTCAGGGACTTGGGTGTTTGCTGTCATTCTCAAAGCTTTTCAGTGTGTTTAAATACATTCCTCAGTCTACTGTGGTGGTGCACACTTGTCTAATCCCAGCACCAGGAAGACAGAGGCAAGCAGAGCTCTGTGAGTTCAAAGACAGCCTGGTCTACATAGCAAGTTCCAGGCCAGCCAAGGCTACATAGTAAGACCCTATCTCAGAGAGAGAGAGAGAGAGAGAGAGAGAGAGAGAGAGAGAGAGAAAGATTCTTTCTCAGCTAGGCATCGTGACATATACATGCAATCCTAGCATTCAGGAGGCTGAGGCAGAAGGTTGTGAGTTCAGGCCCACTTGAGCTACATAAAGAGACCTTGTTTTGAAACAACAGAAAAAAGAAACTACGTTTTGGAAACCAAGTTATAGTTTAAATTCACTAAAGAAAATCTCAGATGTGTACCGCCACACTTGGCTGATTGTTACCTTCTTTATATTATTTTATTAAATACACACACACACACATACACACACACATATATATGTAATATAGAGAATGTATATATAGAGAGAAAGGAGATGAAGAGGGAGGGAAAGTTTTTTAATCCCAGCACTTGGGAGGCAGAGGCAGGCAGATCTCTGTGAGTTTGAGGCCAGCCTGGTCTACATGGTGAGTTCCAGGTCAGCTAGGGCTACAGGGAAACCCTGCCTCAATTAGACTAAAAAAACAACAAAACAAAACCAAAAAACCTTGGGTCTTTTTGAGACAGGGTCTCCTTAGCATCTAACTCTATATGTATTGGAAGATGATCTTGAACTTCTGATCTTCCTATCTCTACCTCCGAAGTGCTGGGATCACAGGTGAGCAGCACCATGTTGGACACATGTTTTTATTATTAATAAAAGCAGCTAACATTCATTAAGGTTCAGTGCACTCCATGCCACACATTCTACTTATCAATGTGCCCAGCACATAGAAAACGCCTTACTAGGCTGAGCGGATGTGATCATCTCAGCTAATCTGGAAAGCCAGTGCCCACCATCGTCTCTTCGTTCCAGGCAGGTGAATGGGCTCCAAGGCTGTGTTACTTGAACTAGAACAACACTGGAATCAAACACTCTTCATCTCAACCTGGCTCCAGAACACAGAAAGCCCTGTGTTTCCTAACTGCCGCCTCGGCATTCCCTCCTGGGCTGAACCATGTTCCCATGCCTCCTGGTCTTCACTCCACTTGTTTCTTTGATTTCAACTTAATTTCTGGGATATAATGCAGTGCATTTTCTTTTCTCCTTTTTTTTTTTTCTGTGTGTGAGGGGAGCGGATGGATGGGGTCTCCCTGTAGCCCCAGCTGACTTGACCTCGCTTTCCCGGAGATTTGCCTGCCTCTGCCTCCCAAGATTAAAGGCATGAGACACCACTCCTGGCTATACATTATTAAGAAATGCTATTCCACCTTCCCCTGGATGAGTTAGCAGTGGGTTTCACTAGTTATTCTGGTTGAGTGAGCAAAAATGGAAAAAGTTTTCTTTTGATTTCCTAGTTTGGTCTATTTATTGTCTGGGGCATACACAGCAAGACTTGCTAATATTTTTTGACAGGTTGAGGTGGAAAAAGACACACAGGAAGGTTAATTGATCCCTAAATCCATAATGTTTGATTTCGTAAGAAATGTATGATAGCTGGGTGTGGTGGCGCACACCTTTAATCCCAGCACTTGGGAGGCAGAGGCAGGTGGATCTCTGTGAGTTCGAGGCCAGACTGGTCTACATAGCGAGTTCCAGGCCAGTGGGGGCTACAGGGAGACCCTGTCTCAAAAGACTGAAAAAAAAAAAAAGGAAATGTATGAAACAGGCAAGAGAGGGATTATCTCCTTATTTGCAAAGAGTCACAGGAAAGGGAAGTGAGTTGTCTTGAACCACTGAGCTGGTTGGAACCCAGACTCAGGGTTGTTTCTACTTGGTCGCCTCCATTTATGAAAAAGCAATCCCTCCAGCCACAGCTTGGAATGGCACAGTCTAAAGTCGTTTGGTGTCAAAAAAAGAATCTAGGCATGTGCTGGCAGACAGACCTGAATGGCTGCTGGGCTGGAGGCTGTGCATGGCAGGATGTGCCAGAGGGGTTCCCTGTATAAATAGCAAGCTATACCGGAGGACAAGGCCAGCTTCAGCCATTTCCCCCTGCTCACACCTGTGCAGTGTGATAAAGAGAGTAGAATTCACCCGCAGCTGTGGTCCAACCAGATAAAACTTTTAGGCGGGAAGTGACAAGCAAACTTGAATGTGGGTTTTTTTTTTTAAGTGTTGTTTTTGATATTTTAAAAAAGCTTTTAGGTTGCTTGTGGAAGTCAGAGCACATACCAGGACAGTGCTGAGCAAGATGGACTTGGAGAAGGACCAATCTCATTTGAAGCTCCACCAGACACCGGACCCTCATCCACAAAAGACCTGTGCTCCAGGTAATGACAGAAACCATCAGCGGTGGTGGCTGTTGGGAAGACATGAATCTATAGCTAGTTCCTTCCTTTTTAATGTATGGTATGAGGGTAGATAAAATTATAACTGAGTATATTCATACAACCTTAGAGGGGAAGAACTGGACTGTGTAATCTCCTGAGCTGCTTGTTAGTGTGAAGAACCTGATAGCCCAGAAAAACACAAGGGGATAATAAATAAGTCATTAATAAATAAGTCATTCTCTTAAATGAGAGCTAATGAACATGCCCAATGCTGAGTAGCTGTGCTAGAACAATCACACCCTTACGTTACTGTGCAGAGCAGCTTTGATGTCCCATTTTTGAAAGATCTGGCAGCAGGCAGCATGCAGTTGTGCTTGCTCTTGTAAGATGCTTATTCCTTTGACTCTAATCTGTCTAGATCTGTTTGAAAGCAGCACTTCTCAAAATGTTTTATGGAACCCTAGCCCCTGAGATACCCGGCATGGTAGCACACACCTTTAATCCTAGTGCTCTGGGGGCAGAGGCAGATGGATCTCTGTGAGTTCAAGGCCAGTTGGGGCCCGTTTCAAAAAGACCAACAACAACAACGACAACAACAAAAGCCTTTGCTTTTGATTGGATCTCTTTGGTAATCTGATGAACCTATAGACCCCTTCTTAGAAGAAAAAAAATTAGATACATATAATTAGGTGTGTAGGATTACAAGGTCACAGTTATATTAAGTAATTATCAACACTGTTGTGATATAATGATAGATGTGTGTGTTTATGATGCACTAAATACCAGGATAGAGTGTAGCTCTAGTAATCTTGGTGTCAAATCTGTAAGTGATCATTTAAGATATATGCGATCAATAGGCCTTAACATATATGACAAAATACATGAAATCCGATGGAGGGGAATGGGGGTGCAGATAGGGGAAGGGATCTAAATATTATTAAGATGTATTGTATGAAATGCACAAAATTCAATTAAAAAGATATATGCAATCATTGTAATGTTATAAGAAAACAACCTGTAGTTTTTGAGTGGTAAAGTCCCATAATGCTAAAACCTCTGTGGTTGTAAACTGTAAGTTAATTGGAGGTTGGCAAAAATATAATTTTTCCCCATCAAAAATCCTGGACTGGGAACACAGCTCAATGGCAGAATGCTTGCCTAGCATGTCTGAGACATGTTTAATTCCCAGCACCACCAATGAAGCAAAACAAAACCCTGAAACCAAACTCTTGTTCTAAGAACAAACGGTGCCTTGGATCAAGGGGCATGTCCTCTCTCTGAGGACCTGCGTCCTTCCACAGATTCTGAGAGGCTTTGTCTCAAAGGCCTATTAATTTTCTCAAACTTGGGTGGCAGTAGATTTTTTTTGAAAAAAAAAATTTGTGTGTATGTTTATGTGGTACACATGTGTATGTATGCATGCTCCCATGTATGTGGATACATGTGTGGGGGACTGTGCATGCACATGTGTCCATCACTTTCCACCTTCTACACTGAGTCAGGCTCTCACCTGAACCCAGAGTTTGCTGATTTAGCTAGTCTGCCTAATCTGTTTACTCTGGGGAACCCCCCATGTCAGCCTACCTCAAACTAGGATTGCAGGTGGATGACCACAATCATCAGACATGTACATGGGTGCTAGAAATCTGTACTCTAGCCCATATGCTTGTGAACCAAGTGCTTTACCTGCAGAGCCATCTCCCTAGCCCAGAATTTACTTCTGATAATACCCTCAGTATCCTAAATAATTTTAAGAAACATAATCCTAAAGGCAAATCCAAAAGTAAAAACAATTTTTAGCAGGGTGTGGTGGTGCATGCCTCTGATCCCAGCCCTTAGAAGGCGCCTACGGTCAACCTGGACTACATCGTAGGGGAGACCTTGCTACGACCATCCTTCAAAAAAAAGTTATATGAATGAATACGCTTATTACTGTTTGATATTATTACAGTTTCACATACAAGGCTAAAAACCATGCATCTTCTATGCTTCATGTGAGAGGAATGACCGAGTAAACAACGCATCAGCTGGCTTCAGTGCCATGTCACACTAAAATTGCAATTTTGAAGAGCATGTCATGGGAAATATTTCTGATAATAATGTTAGGTTAACAAAAGATAAAATCTTGATATGTTATCATTACAACTTTGTGTAATGTATTATTTGTGTAATATATATTCCTGGATGGAAATGAGGAATGAAATGAACAAGTTATTATGTTAAAGGTGACAGACCATGACCGATTTTTTTCTTTTATGACTTGTGAAAATATAAAATTATTTTGAATGGTTCCAATGGGTTGATCGCATACTTGTGAACCATATCTAGGTAGGCCTTGAATCTTTTCGTACAGTGTTCCTCAATGTCTGCTCCACATTCTATGAAGATTTTTCCTTGACCTCAGAGATCTGGGAGCAAAACTCTGCAGTAGGACGCTTGCCTGAGCCACATCATGGGTCACCATGACCTCTCCAGTAATTTCCCTTTTCATTCTATAGAAATCATTGGAACTTGGAGTTTGCGAAGCCGAGAACAACTCAGGAAAAGAAAAGCAGAAGCGCAAGAGATGCAAATGTCACAATGGCTTCTTGGGTAGGTGTCCTCACCTGGGACAGGAACGAGGTTGACTGAAAACATGTTGCAGGCTTTAATCAGGGTAGCATGCCCCATTCTACCTTTCCAACAGTCCTGTAAGTTAGATGTTATCCCTGGTGTGTGTTTGTTTAAAAAAAGTCTCCAATGGGGGCTGGAGAGATGGCTCAGAAGTTAAGAGCACTGTCTCCCCTTGAAGAGGACCTGGGTTGGATTCCCAGCACCACATAGTGGCTAACAACCATTCATAACCCCAGGTCCAGGGGATCCATCGCCTTCTTCTGACTTCTGGGGACATTGCATGACACAGGTACACTTACACAGATGCAGGCAATGCATTCATACACATTTAAAATAAAGCTGGGCGTGGTGGCACACGACTTTAATCCCAGCAATCGTGAGGCAGAGGCAGGCAGATCTTTGTGAGTTCGAGGCCAGCCTGGTCTACATAGCGAATTCCAGGACACCTGGGGCTACAAGGAGACCCTGTCTCAAAAAGACAAAAAAAAAAAAAGTTTACAATGGGTTAACGTACTTTCTTAAAGTCAAGCAGTAAAGTTGCAACAGAATTACCCCTGTTCTCTTTTAACAAAAGTATGGGCAGCCTGATTACATTGTAGAGGAAGCTGGTGTGACTACCCTAGCCCAAAGAACATTCAAGCAGGGCTGGAGAGATGGCCCAGCAGTTAAAAGCACTGGCTGCTCTTGCAGAGGACCTGGGTTCAGTTCCTAGGACCCATATGGTGGATAACAACCATCCATAACTCCAGTTCTAGGGAGTTAGATGTCCTCCTCTGGCTTCTGAGGGCATTGCCATGACATGAATGCTTACAGACATGCAAGCAAAACACTCATACAGATAAAAAGTTAATTAATTAAAAAAGAACTCTGGGGCGGTGGTGGCGCATGCCTTTAATCCTAGCACTTGGGAGGCAGAGGCAGGCAGATCTTTGTGAGTTAGAGGCCAGCCTGGTCTACATAGTGAGTTCCCTGTACAAAAAATGAAAAAAAAAAAAATTTGGAAAAAAAAAAAAAAAAAAAAAAAAAAAAAAAAAAAAAAGAAGTCTGCCTCTGTTGGGCTTTGCATCTTGTTGGGAGTAGGACACTGGGGAGGAGCTTTCTGCTCGTAAAATCCTTGCTGAATGAGTGTGATCAGCTTTCCTTGGAATCAATAAGTGACAAACTTTAGGAATTCCTGAGTGCTGGTGCCAGCCGGCCAAAACGGACAGTACCTGAAAGGGGGAGTGAGGATTGAAAGAAAGAAAAGGAGACAGGAAAGACGCTTCTTGGAAGGGCTCACAGTAAATACTGCCAGCCTCGATTTATTTCAGTTCTGTCTTTTTATACAGAACTCAATTAGTTACAATTGCTGTATTTCTCCACCTGTATCTGAGGGTCAGGGAGCGGTCAGATCAAAGGCTTCTTGGATCCTTTTGTTTACCACTAATGCCTCAAGGTCAGGTATTGTGAGGCTCTCCAGAAAACTTCTTCCTCCTGAATGGGCAGGTTAAGTACTGGTTTGCATGACACAAAGTCAGTAAATGAGGCTGCTGCAGCTCAATGATTAGCAGCTCCCAACACCTGAGTCTCTCTTAAAGTTACCAGTATTGAACTCAAGGAGGGAAAACCAGCACATGATCATAAAAGTTAGGCAGCAACTAACTGTATCTGTTTAGAATATGGCCATGACAACTGGAGAGTTACTTGTGCCAAGACAAAAAAAAGAACAGTCCAGAGAGCCCCAAATGCAGCATCCACCCAAGCCAGAGGCTCCTCACAGGGTAATGCTCTGCTGCGGGAGACTGCTATGCACAGTCCATGCTTCACAGCATTTTCTGATTTCTAGGCACCAAAATTATCTCCTCTCTCCCATCTCAATTGTGATGATCAAATGCCTTCAGACATGATTAAACATCTTCTGGGGTAGAGAGAAGGCAGGCAAAAACACTCCCATTTCAGAGCCATTAATTCCAGCCCTTGGGAGGCTAAGGTAAGAGGACCACAAGTTCTAGGCTACCCAGAGCTATATAGCAATACTCTGTCTCAGAAAGAAAGAGAAAGAAGGAAAAGAGAGAGAGAAAGTAGAAAGAGAGAGTAAGAGAAAGAGAGAAAGAGAAGGAAAGAAAGAAAGAAAGAAAGAAAGAAAGAAAGAAAGAAAGAAAGAAAGAAAGAAAGAAAGAAAGAAAAACATTTATCTATCTAGGTGCAATGACCCATGTCTGTAATCCCAGCACTCAGGAGGCTGAGGCAGGAGGATGATGAATTGGAGGGCAGCTTGGGCTATCCAGTGAGATCCTGTCTCTGAAAACCTACCATAGATGTTCCTATAATTCCAGTGAGCTCACATAAGTTTGGTAAATAGAAAATGATGCCAACACAATGTAGACTGTATTAACTCATCAATTCTCCTCTTCAAGGAGCCAGAATAGTGGAAATAGATTTAAAGCCTCCAGCAGGAAAGGAAGGGCCTTCCCCGCTGCTGTGAAGGCTCGGGAGAGAGCCCTTCCCTGTGGCAGCTTGCACCTGCAGCTGCTCCTGTGCCTGCTTAGTGGCTTGAACTCAGGTCTCAGCAAGTGTGAGCCCACAATGACTATTATTTTCTGTTTTCCCTGTCCTCTGAGGCAGGCTCCAGTCATTGTAGGTTACTTGCTTAGATTATTGTTTTTTCTAATGTTGAAATACACATCTGTAATCCCAGCTCTCGAGAGGCTGAGGCTGGAGGATGGTAAGTTCCAAGCCAGCCAGGGCTAGATAGGGAGAACCTGTAACAACAACAAAAAACAAATCAAAACATGAGCTGGAGCTGTGGTCCTTTCTTGTGAGCAGGAGCTATGGTCCTGTCCTATGAACCTGGGGCTGTGGTTCTCAACCATGATCCTGGAGCTGTGGTGGGCTGATGGTGGAGGAGATTGGAGGATGGAAGACTTCCCAATGTTGGACAACAGTTTTAACCTTCTCTGAGTGGAGACATTTCCCACAGCCCCCTCCCCCAAAGCCGCAGTTTGTATGTACAAAGGCTTTGCCTCTCTTTGGCTTATGCTGGGGATAGGGGAGGTTTCTGTCATTTGCAGATTCTAGTCTTGGAAGGACTGGTTTTCAAAAATGGACTTCCCACCTCCCTCGATGGCCAGTTATGGTCTTGATTCCACATGTGGTCCTGGGTATCCAGGCCTTGATGTTGAACCTCTCCCATTCTCAGGCACCAAGAGGTTTTCCGTCATTTTTCTATTACTCTTCTATAGCCCAGTGTACCTTCACCTGTGCCCTACAGAAAATGTAAATCATCTAATTGAACTTCTAGAAAGAAAAATCGCAACTTTTTAAAAAAGTTGTTTTTTGTACTGGGCATGGTGGCCTATGCCTTTAATCCCAGCACTTGGGGAGGCACAGGCAGGTGGATCTCTGTGAGTTCAAGGCTAGTCTTGTCTATATAGTGAGTTCCAGGCCAGATGGGACTACAGGGAGACCCTGTCTCAAAAATACCAGAAAAAAAAAGAAAAAAAAAATCTCCAGCCCCTTGATTGGGTAATCTTTTTCAAAAATTTTATTTATTATTTTTATTTTATGTGTATGAGTATATTCCCTGCATGCATGTAAGTTTACCTGTGTCGTGCAATGCCCAAGGAGGTCAGAAGAGGGCGTTGGATTCCCTGAAACTGGAGTTAGGATGTTTGTTAGCTGCCATGTGGGTGCTAGAAATCGAACCCAGGTCCTCTGCAAGAGCAGTCAGTGCTCTTAACTGCTGAATCAACTCTCCAGCCCCAGCTGAGCAATCTTGATCACTCTTGCTTTCTCAGGGCTTGCTACAGAGCTGTGCCTTTGTTTACTTTGCATTCCCTTCCTGTTCCAAGCATTCTCAAGTGTGTTATTTTGTATTTCTATTAAAGATTTTATTTTTAATTACGTGTTTATGTGTGGGTGTATGTGGGGATATGTGTATATGAATGTAGGTGCCTGCAGAGCCCAGAAGATGGCATCAGATCCCCTGGAGCTGCAGTTACAGGCAAGCAACCATTGAACTCGGGTTCTGGGAACTGATTTCAGGTCCTCTGCAAGAGCAGTCAGTGTACTTAGCTGCTGAGTCATCTCCCCAGTTCCCATTTCTATTAATTAAAAAATTGGTCTTCAAATTTATCTATTGCATTGAGCCTGGTGGAAGAGCTCTGCTGGCAAATGTAGCTGGTGCCATTGTGCTGACAGACATGGCTTTCCAAGCTTACTGAGCTGAGGAGCTCTCTGACGCAGAGGACACCTTGGTGACTTCCTGGCAGCTGGCTAGACTTGCTTTGGTAACACAACTCTATGCCACTGAGGGCTGCTCCCTTTTTTCTCATCACTGTATACACACAGGACGCCCAGGCTTCAGAGAGTGACAGGAGAATGTAATGGTTAAGAGCTTTGGCTGATGAGCCAGAATGACCAGCCTGACACCCCCACTTCCTAGTCATTGACCTTGGGTAAATTGCTGAGCATTTCCACACCTCAGTTTTGTCCTTTGCAAAATGGAGATAATAGTATTATCTCTATCTAGCTTGCTGTGAAGATTCTATGAGATAACAGAAGTAAATGAAAACACTGCCAACGCCATAGGAAGGATTAGAAATGTCTCTCAGAGTAATATGCAAGTATTAATTTATACTATTTTGAATGATTCATCCTGCAGTTGTATGTAATTCTTACAACCACCACATGAAAGTGAGCAGATATTATCTACCTCATTTTTACCTATAAGGCAGTCAAGAAATGGAGAGGTTAAATGACTTGTAAAAGTCATGAGAGAGTACAGACTAAACTTTAGGCCACTCATACTATTGTTACGTTTTTTTTTTAAATTAAAATGATTACTATTATCATGAGAGAGAGGAGAAAGAGGGAGAGAGAGACAGAGAGGCGAGAGGGAGAACCACAGCATGCATGTTCAGAGATCAGAGGACAACTTGTGGGGCGTCAGTTCTCTCCTCCCACCCTGTGGGTCCCAAGGATTGAACTCAGGTCATCAG